TTTCAACATTATTGTAAATTTTTCAAGAAATGCTGCAGAGATCTAGATAAAAAAAAATGATTGGGACTGAAATCTATGAGTGTGAACCACACAACGTAGGCCGGTGGGAAATCCCACAGTAAAATGCAAATTATTATTTGACACAGGTATGTATGACAGGTCAGGATGTTCCTGCTGCCCAGGATTCAGCAATTCTTTTCATTTTCATTAACACTGTGAGATAGAGATCCAAGCAAGCCATAAGACAAGGTCCTCAAGCACAGCTCCATATTAACGCTGATGCTAAGCAATCATAATGATTTGTCCATTTTCCCCTTCAGGTGCTGGACAATGTAAATGCCAAACAGCTGAATATCCATTGGTTGAGATCCCAAATGGGAATCGTATCCCAGGAGCCCACGCTGTTCGACTGCACTTTATCCGAGAACATCGCCTACGGAGACAACAGTCGCATCGCCACCATGGAGGAGATAGTGGCGGCTGCTAGAGCGGCCAACATTCACAACTTCATTCAGGGGCTGCCACAGGTAACGGCTGCCCTGATGTTTCACTCCCATCTGTTCACACAAAACTAAATATAAACAGAAGGCGTGAGGCCCCCCCCCAACATTTTTCAACAAGCAGTTATCTGCACATCTCAAAGTTCTCTTTGTCCCAGAGATAAATAGTTACAACTGTGTTCTGTCTGTTAATGGGCAAGTGATTATACAACAGCAACAAATGTGACTAAGAGTTTCTGACTGTGGGTGTTTTCACAGAGGACATTTCGACATGTGAGGACCATACATGCTCAAATGCAGGTGAAAGTTAATCTCTTGCCGAGATGAATAGAGCGTAACGGTGACCGCCCTCTTTTAGAACGGCTCAAGTAAACTTCCCGTTCATGTTCTCCACTGACATTAAACAAACACCTTATAAAAAGAGTTTCATATTCATTTCATTGGAAGTTCTCTGGAAGCAAATTTGTATTTATTGCTCTGTAAAACAATGTAGACATTGTTCTCATTGGTACATTTCTTAACAATCAATTTAAATATAAAACATCATAGTGGGTCCACAGGACGTCAAAAATATCAACTTTGCCTACAATTCAACATACAACAGGTTTCCATAGTTTTACAAAGAACGAAGGGAAACTTGTGGATTACAGGATACATCATGTTGGTGAGCTACAGTAACGCCATCATGTGGCCTCTCTCTCTCTCTCTCTCTCTGATTGAATGAGCAGAAGTACGACACTCAGGCAGGTGACAAGGGAACGCAGCTGTCAGGTGGACAGAAGCAGAGAATAGCCATAGCCCGAGCCATCCTGCGCAACCCAGTACTGCTGCTGCTGGACGAGGCCACGTCCGCACTCGACACTGAAAGCGAGAAGGTGAGTGACTCTTTCCTACGAGTGATGCTGGCAACAGTGAGACCAAAGAGTGCATGGGAAGAAGGGATTTACCAAAAAGGTGAAGTTTCATCTGATGAAACAAATACAAATAGAAATAAATAATAGTAATAATAATAATAGATTAAGACAGATTCTTCCTGTGAATGGATATTAAGTTAATACCTTTACGGAGCCATGCGAGGGACATGGAAGAAAAAGAAATGTCCTTTTACGAGAGCTTGAAAGGTTTTTCGAGATCCTCTTGTAGCCTCAAACATGATAATTCTCTTGCTCACACAGGAATAACTTGTTCAGATGCGCACCAGTGGCAATTGAAAGACATTTATTAAGCCTCTATTTTACATGGGTCAATTGTTTTAGTATTATTGTTGATATGGCTCTGATTTGTTAAAGGAGGAATTGTTTCTGTGGGAGGCAGCAGTGTGAACGTAATGTCTAACTCTTTCTGTTGAACTTCATCTCGATTATCATTCTGCCTCATCACTCAGTTTCTCCCTCCACAAACAAAGTCTTTAAGATTTGCCAGAGTCAGAGGCCCCCGGATTCTCACTGTGGTTGTTCTGCCCTCTCTGCAGGTGGTGCAGGAAGCGTTGGACCAGGCCAGCAAGGGCAGGACGTGCATTATCGTGGCGCACCGTCTGTCCACCATCAAAAACGCTGACCGCATTGCCGTCTTGCAGGGGGGAGTAGTGGTCGAGCAAGGGACGCACCAGCAGCTGCTGGCGAGGAAGGGAGTCTACCACATGCTGGTCACCACACAGTTGGGCCACGGGAGGGAATGAGAGGACAGCAATACTAGACAAACTATTTATAATCTTTACATTCACTATCCATAGGGCTGGATTCAACTCGTGTGGCTCTTATCGTCAGCTCCCGGCCTCACAGCTTCAGTGAGGGATCGGATGTGCTGATTGGGTCCAGGTCTTTCGGGAGATGTGACCTTCTAGCCTCCAGAGTCTTGTGGCTGTAAGAGCCCACGTCTGTGCCACCGTTCACGAGTTGCCACATTTATTATTTTTTTATACAGAAAACATTTTGACACTTTAGTAAAAGACTGGTTTAAATCATAAAAAAAAAAAACCAATGCGTCAAGTTTTTGGGTCCTGCTGTTGTTCAGGCCTCACTTAAACACTTGAATTTTATTTAACACCTTTATTTACTATGACAAGTTGAAATGTGTGCTATGAAAAAGGCCTTATTACACTGTGCTGTATCCTCACATGCTTTCTTTATTCTTGTTTGTTGATCACTGGGACTCATTTCAGTCCTTTTCTTTTTTAACAAACTATCAGACATCAATATTTGGTTCCACCTGATGTGACCAAAATGACAAATATGTAGTGATTCAAGCAAACAAAGCACTGGATTTATAAAGTACCAAAGATTGTGTAAACCTCACACTGGCATCAACAATGTGTGTTCTCCTGTTAATATATTGAGAAGATTTGTTGATAAATAATATATAATAATGTTTAGTTCATTATGTTCGATATTCTGGGATGATAATGATCAGAAGGGCCTGAGCAGCTGAATTCAAGGAAGAATGTAATGTTGCACAAATACACAGAATCACTAATCTTTATGAAGGATATTCTTATATATTAAAGTTTAATATTGTCAATAATTTAACATCATTGTATATTGCAAATTCTTTATTTTTCAGTATTTATATCTAAGATTGAGCTACTTTTCATTCAGGTATTTGAGGCAAGTACAAACTTATTCACACTTTACAAAGGTTTAGTCAGTTACAGGCAGATCACAGATTAGTGTAAGGCTTTAAATGCAGCAAAAATAAAATTAAAAAAATGAAAGGTTCAGTGATGTTTTCTAGCCAAATATAAACTGTGAACACATGAACACAGACAAAACTCCATAGTGTGCAGGACACATAAAATCAAAGTTAGTTATGATTCTTCTGTTTCTCAAAGGAGAGTTCCCCCTGGGGATTCATAAAGTATTTCTGGCTCTGATCCGTGGAATGAACATAACTTTTAATTTTCAAAAAGCTGAAATGAAAATAACACAAACTGCTGATTTCTGATAACATTTAAGTCTCATGTTTAATAGTTGATTTGTTGCATATTTCTGTAGCTTTTCATTGGAAGACTAATCCTAACCTAAAACAAACACACCTAAAAAAACATTGTTTCATTTAAATTTCTTTCATACTTATTTTCTATTGGTTTTATTGGAATGCCCTTTAGTACATTATTATCACAGCAGAAGGCCAAGAGTGAAAGCAGCAGTTATTTTCCACAGTTCCCTGAAGAAGAGCTTCAGTTTCTGTTGAATCGTTACCCACTGAGGGCAAACATCATCAGCTAGGCTTAAAAATGGATTAAACAACATTTAAATACTCTAAAATGTGCATGAATCATACCAAATATATATATACACCTGGAAGAACAATTTTGATTAATGATTCCCCCAAAAGAAGTGGAAAACTTAATTGGTGTTTTCAAATTCAAAAACAAGTAAATAACACCGAGAGGTAACTACTGCGTCTTTGCATTGATCTGCTAGCTATCTAGCTATTAGCTGAAAGTTTGTGAACTGAATGTACATTGATGCTCACACTGAGAAACAGAGGTAAAAGGCAAATGTGCCAATCAGCTTGAGTTCAGCACCTCTGTGTCTTTAAAGCTGAGATGTGGTGGCCAGGTGAAGCATCTCGTGCAGGGAGCTGCTGAAGTGGTTAAATAGTGTTGATGCGTCTGTTTGGCGGTAAGAGTTCCACGCTGAGACGGAGATCACAATCCTTCAGGGAAGAGAGAGAGAGCGTGGAATAAATCACAGCTGCGGAAATATTGTCTTCATCCAAAAACTAAAAAGAGACAGATTTCAAGGGGTCTGATGCGGATATTAAAGACTAATTACCAAAACCAATACATTAGCCAAACTTCAATGAAAGGATCACCAGAATAATGCAATAGTTAGTGTTTTATGATGGTGACAACAGCGTTTAATTAGCTGACGACTAAAAGATTCATCTGATGTGTTTTTGAGGGATTTCATCTTCTTTAATCGACTCAACTTAACATTCCACAAAACTGAACTTTTAATGAAAACATGTTTATGTCTTGTCTGCTTACCGGTCGTCTCTGATGCGGTAGAAGAAGCCGTAGCCCTGGTGCACCATGGGAGCCACAGCCCCCAGAATTGTGGTGTAGCCCACCAGACTGGACGACAGCACAAAGTTGCCACCACCACCACTGCAGACACGAACACAACCCAGTTACAGACCAGCAGAGACCTAATGATTTTTATCAACATACAGTATATCTGAAAGAGTTTAGATCTTTGTGCTTCTACATCTGTTATTTAATGTCACAGCGAGCTGAAATGTAATGGGAGTTTTGAGAAGGAAACAGTGATTTAAAACCCGTTACAGACAGAGAAGCAGCGGTTTTAATGAACAGTTAACTCTACCTCTTCGTGTAGAGGGGATCCATGAAGAGCTCTGGAGTGGGAAGTCCCTCCTCTTTAGCAATAAGATACAGGCCGAGCAGATGCCTGTCAAAACCTGGAAACAATGTCGAGACATAAAAACGTCTTGTTCACAATGAAAACCATTTTCTGATTTGTAATAACCCTCCTTTGAATTTGTTATAATTTATCTAAACTATTTTCACTGGTTGACGATTATTTTCAGTAACTTAAGCCGACTCTTGTCTTCAACCTTGTTTTTGGTTTATCGTCAATGCTGTTCACCTTCACACAAAGGGATGATAAAAGGAAAATGTACAATGATACAACAACTGACCATTTCCATCCTGGGCTTCAGCCATTAGCTTGTTGTGTCGATTGAAGGCCAGCAGCATGGCTTTCCTCTTGGCTTTAACCTGAGGGGAAAATGTTGATGTCAAAAAAGCAAAGACTGAGGCCACCTGTGTACTTTTTGAGATTTTGCCAGACACACACACTCACATCACATGAGGGGTCGATCATGGCTCGACACCAGTTCACTGCCTCCTGGGTGCAGGGACGCATCGTCTCCGTCCTGCCGTGGTAGAACTTGCGGGTCATTGCTGTCTCATAGCAACTACCGGGCCTGAGAGAGCGAAGAGGAGACTTGCACTTACTTACTTCACTTGAAACATCAGTGAAAGCATGGGCAAATTACCGGGTCCACACCTTTTGTGCATTCTGTAATAGGCCAACTGCATCGCCAGTTGAACAAAGGTGTCAGGATGCAGCTTCTTCTGTTTAATAACTGCTTTTCCAAATGCAGTGAAGGCGTAACACACAATCTGAAGGTCCTGTGCCTATAAAACCAGAGACAGTGAGACAGTGATGACAGACAGTAGACAAACCGCTCTAACTATGCACAAGTCATTTACTATTAACTCACAGTCTCCAGGTATTGCTGTTTGGCGTGGCTGATGTCACTGCAGACTTTCTCATCCACAGTAAACACCATCTCCTCAGGAAGGGGCATGGGTCTGACTGCTTCTGAGCCCTTAAAACCATAAGACATAATCAGCGTGTGAGAAGTGGAAGGACACATTTAAAATGAACTATTCCACTTTCTGTTCAGAAACAAAGTTTACCTTCCATTTGCCTTCTGTAGCTTTGATTTGTTGGTCCACATACCAACACAGAGACACCAGGACCATGGCATCGTATGGTGCGTGCTGCCAAACAATTTAATTTGAGCTATTGGTCATTTCACATCATGATTTAGTGACTAAAATCATCATTATCAGTATTAGCCTTCACTTTATTGTTAAATTCAATTACTGCAGGATGTTAATGAACAAAATTTCTGCAGCTGAAAGACTGTTGCAACCTTTGGCTGCCGCTGGACCATATTCACTGGGAGTCTTTCACAAGTAATCAAATGAACCTTTAATCTCTTCTACCATTACACATACAAACTCACATCACACGTGGATCCAAAAGTGCCATCTGAGAAGACGATTGAATTGTACGATTTGTCTCCCCAGCGGATGGTGGGGTCTCCTTTAAGTGCTTCCAGGGTCACCTGTGTTCAGAAAAGTCACAAAATCAGACACACTGCTTTTTTCCTGTGAACAGAACGTGACTTAAACAGGGTCACGTGAAGTTATTTATAATTCAACAGTACATTTGTGTAGTTCTCTGGAGTGGAGTAGGGTTTGGTTTCGTCCAGAGATACGATGAACAGGCTGCTCTGGATGGTTTCCAGGAGGGTGTTATTGTGTGGATCAATGCTTATTAGATGCTCCCTGGCCTGCGGAGACAGTAAACAGAAAAGTGTTGACAGAGCTGATCATGACTTCTAGTGTTTTATACTGTTTATACTGTGTTACATCTAATTCACCAAGATTTCTCTGAACCTGAGCAGCCTCACCTTCGCCCAGCGAGTCCTCTCCTCTGAGGTGAGAGCAGCGACTCCTTCTCCCTCTGGCTCTCCCTCGCAGCGCTCCTTCACATAACTCAGCTGCCTGCACAGGTCAACACGAACACAAAATATAACAAGGCAGCTTTTAACCGTTGCTCCTTCCCATAGAGATAATTATGCTTTCTTGTCCTGCACTCAAATTACATTCAAGATCCTTTACGATCTTTTTAAACGATTATTTTTGGAGTATCATGTTCACAATAATAGCACAGAGTCACAGACACCAGCATGCAGTCATGAGCAACGGCTCTCCTGATGCTGGAGCGAGCAAGAAAATAAAACATCTCTCATGGGGTTGTGTTCTTGTTCTTGTGTATTTGTGTGTACTAACTACCTGAGAAGTTCTGGAGGAGTGAGGATTTGTCCATCACACAGTGCGTCAAATGTGAAGATCCGTCCACGACACATCACTACCAAGTGGGAGGGGCATGGACCCTCACGCTCTGTGACACAACAGAAACATGTAAGCTGAAGAAATGTGTGATATAAATATGTTTATGAAAGTGTGGCTAAAGGTTAAAGATAACAGCCATGTTTATTCTACCTGTCTTGAAGTAGTTACGGATAGAGTCCTTCTTCACTCCAGGCACTTTGCAGGTGCAGAACAGCATTCTGAACTGGTCCATATCTAATACTGTTTTTCCAGCTTTCTGAGGAGCCAGCTTCTCGCTGAGATGTGCAGACGACAGAAAAGAAATCCCAATTACATATTTACGTGAAGACATGTAAAAAGTAGAGCACACCGCAAAGAAACGCCTTGATAAAGTGTGAGAATGTCTTACGTGCGGATCAAGTCCCAGTACTGTAGTGTGTGCCATATGCTTATACTGGCTCTCTGCAGAAAAACACCCTCTGCAGGAGGCCAGCAGTGCTCGAGGTAGGGCGCCGGGCCTCCAAAGTTCACATTCAGCTGAGAGGGGATGCGGACCTCCAGGTACGCTGCATCTAACCACCATTCTTCCAACTGGTGAATAATAACACAGTCAGGATTAAAGAGGACATGTGTACGACTAAGACACAACATTTACAGTCGATCCACGTACCCAGTTCTTCTTCGTCTTGGCTCTCTGCAGCAGTTTCTGATGCAGCTCTTTACCAACACCCTCTTGGAATTTCCTCACAATGTCCACGGTCGCCTTATACTCTTTCTCAGAAGCAAATGGATGAACTGTTGGCAACAGAAAACCAGTCAGTGAATCAGTTTTAGACTGTCAATAAACAGCTTCTGGTCATTGTGAACATTAAGCATCTTCTGTGGTAAAAACTGTCATTTTAATTGTGCAAATGTTCAAAATACTTTCATAGAAAGTGAATATGAATCACACAATCATATATGTAAACTTTAACATTAACTGACACTTTCATATGATGATAATAATAGAATCAGAGTTAAAGTAATAGAAAACCTGGATTATGTTTAGAAATATAAATCTAGGGAGACCCAAAAAGCTGAGATACAGATAAATGTACATGTTACACATAAAGTTCAAAGCCAGAGATAAGATAACATTTTTCAAGGCTAGAGGGCAAAGTAACAGAACTCAAAAGTTCTGCTTTTTATTAAAAAAGATACAATTATTAAAATATGTCTATTTAAAGATGAAGAAACATTTTCTGTAGTCAACCAAAAACATCTTGGTTGAATGAAATCATGAGTACACTTAATCCATAATTAATATAATCTATCAATCCTGGAAGACTAATGTTAATGTAGCACTTTTCAGCTTATGGAAGTAACACTTGTCCAAAAGCAAATATTTACAGTTTGCATTGTTACTGAGACCCAGCAGGTTAAACAAAGCTACAATCCTACCAGCATCCAGGTACATGGAAAGGCTGCTCTCTAGTGGTGGTAGAGGCAGGGGAGGCAGGCTGCTCTGGTACTGGAAAGTCCGCTCAGGCAGAGACTCTGCCAACTGATTCGCCATTTCTTCTCCCTGTAATACAAATAAATGTTGACTGCCTGAAGCTGAAACATTAGTTTGACATTAATTTGTCTCAGTGGTTTGACAGGGTACGACTCAGCTGCAGTTTGCAGGATCTTAAGTCGATCTCAAAGAATTCTTCAAACAATATACTGATCATTTCTTTGTACATGAACAGACAATGTTTGTGTATTTAATACTGTTTTATAAATACTGTCAAATGCAACATGTGTAAGTGAACATTCTGTGAAATCTTTATGAAATTGGACATAATAGTTTATAGCAAGAAACCCCAAAAGTATACTATATCCAGTATAATCAGTTTACTGAAGAAAGGCAAAAAGGGAGAACATCTGTTTGTAAATATATGAGTAAAAAATCCCATGAAAGGGAAATAAACCAAGACACTTTTGCTGTGGAAAAATGAAAAAGCCTTTATTATCGTGACTATTTAATGCTAATGTAGTTAGTCACCCTGATGAGGGCCAGTGTGCTGCAATGCATTCATGCATTTTATTAAATCTTTGGCATTAGCCACACTAATAAAGGCTTTTTGATTTTCCCACATCAAGCATGCCTTGGTTTATTTCCTTTTTTTGTAGCGATATTAAGTTTCCTATCATGAACCATAAAGAGAAGCTGTAAATCTTCACATTTGAGAAGCTGGAACAAGCAAATGATTGACCTTTATGTTATTCAACGATCATTTGCAAATCAAATAGTCAGTTGATAGAAATATTATCAAATTTAAAACTTTAAAACATTTTAATGAAACAAAGACAAGCAAGTTTCAGACTTCACGCTGGCTTCTGGTGGCGTTTAACACAGATTCCTGACCAGACAAACGAACGTTGCAGCTCCATTAAAACAAGAGCAAAGCTAAACTTTCTGAGCTGATCGCACTGGTGACACAGGAGCCGGTGCCTGTGTCCACACTGTCTGTTTAGCATTGAATAAACAACCCGTGCTCAGTTTAACAGAACCACATGCAACCAAACAGTTTGTTATTAAAGGCAGTAAACGGTGTTTTCACCATCCTCGGATTACTCCAGAGGATCTTCATGGGTTCCATTAAATTAGCTAACGCCAAGACGTCGCTGTGTGTGAGCTGCGGCTAACGGCTAATGCTAACAACAACAACAACAACAACAACAACAATAATAGCGTGTGATACGCGGGTTAAAAATGATTTAACGACATTTCTGACATCTGTCGGACGCAGCTCACCTTGTCCGGGTCACGCTGACTGTGGCTCTGACCCACACGCAGCTCAAACACTGGTGTTGTGTCCCGAGGAGCCTCTCCTCACCTTTCCCCCAGTGAACCTCTGTCCCGCTGCCAGCACCAAGCTCGCACTGCGCATGCGCGGAGGACTTGCTCCAGCGCTGTGGCGGAAACAACGAGGTCAGTGTGCAGAGGCTGGAGATGTGCTTCAAGAAGTAATACATGTTTGTTTGCACTGTCAGACAGCTTTCAAGGGGATGATTCTTATTCTAAATTCTGATTTATATGCATAGATATATATATATAATAAAAAATACAGTTACTTTTACCTGTGTATGTTTGTGTGATAAATGTTATTGCTACTCTAACACAGCAATAAAGTCACCTATCTATCTATCTATCTATCTATCCATCCATCCATGTTTGTGTGATAAATGTTATAGCTAACAATAAAGTTATCTATCTATCCATCATCCTATCCATTTTAAGGTAAATAACAAATGTCAAATATGTAAGTGTGTGTTAAAATAATCCTTATAGGCTCACATGTACTTTAAAATGGGCTTCGAGAAACTTCAGTGGTGCTGATGTGTTTGACTTAGAGCTAATCTCTGCAGCCAGGGTCAGAAATATTGTGTAAGTCTTTCCAGTTAATCAGCGGCTGTTACAGAAACAGATTAACACTCAAGGTTTGGAATAAGAACATTCAAATATGGGACTAAAGTTATTTTCACATTTTATGAAGGACAATCAAATTCCCAACAGAAAGGAAGCACAAATAACAGAGATCTAGAGGAGAAAGAGATTTAATTTACAAACTTGTGCAGTTAACAATGTTGACATTACACAGTTTTTATTGTTATCAAGTTACATATCAAAATGCACAAGTTTGCGAAATATTGCTGTGCACATGTGGATTATACCTGTAAACAACATAAATGAGATAAAACAGCAATTTTAAAAAGCAAAGTTAATGTTTTATTATCAGAGGATGCATAGACGTTTCTTAGTTTACCTGTATAAACACAAACAACATATCAAGAAGAAATAAATCACAGCAAAAAAACAAAATCTAAAATTTCACATTATCCGGTAGAAATATGGCCTCTGACAGCAGAAGGCTACTTGTTATGTAGGACAGTATTGTTTTAGTATTGGAGTTAGCATTAGTTGTTCGCATTAGTTCTGCCTCTTCAGTTCTACAGCCCGTATTTGCTGATGACTTCCTTTGCGGTGGTGATGTAGGCTGACATGGCATCATCCTTGGACATTCCTGAAAGAGTGAGAAAATATAGATTTATAGGATAGAAAACTTAAAGTGTTTTTTTAGCCAGCAGCTTCATGACAACTACTGTACCGACTGCAAATGACATCACAAGTGCAAGATGGCCGCACCCGTATCGAAGACATTTGGCTTCATTTTTATAGAGCAGGAGGAAGTGGAGACACACAGTCCATCCTTACATACAGTCTATGGTTGTTACATTGACTGCCATAAAATCTGCTAGAGATGTGTGTGGTGCCCGCTTTTCCTTTGGCGCCACCAGTGGTCAAAGGTTAAATCTAGTCTGGGAAATATCCAATGGATGGATTGGAACCAAATTTGGTGCAGACATTAATTATCTCCAGAAGATGATTTCATCCTCTGACATCTCATTTTCACAGTTGTGGTTTAGGCAAAATGTCTCAACCATTCGATGAATTACAATGAAATTGACGAAGTTAGGGATAAATCTATTCCAATTCCAGAAATCTCTGTCTGTCTGTGGCTCGCCTATCTCGAGGACCTGGACATGTGTATCGCTCAGGGACCAAAGAAGTGCAGTGTTGACTTTGGAGCAATTTCAAAATGTGATACATTTTGCATAAACAGGTGACTAGCATCCTGTAGAGCAGCGGCTGGGACTCATCAACATAAGTGAAGTTATCGATGGCAACAACAGCGTGTTCATGACAACAGCAACTGATCCTCCAGTTTGGTCGTCAGGCTTCACTGAACTGATGAAGAGGTGAACAGCTCTTTGTGCAGCAGCAGCAGTGTGGCCTCAGGTTTCTGCTGACCAAGTCTCTCAGCCTGTCCTTACTTCCTGTGGTTCAATTACTGCAGGTCACCTTTGCAGTTTCAGAGAGAAAGCTGCAACCAGCATCATCACAAGCCAAGAAAACAGCCCATCCCCAGCAGGCAGGTTTATAGTTGTTATGGCACTTTTAAATATTCAAAACATTTTATTAAAGGTAAAAAAATCTAGTTTGTCCAACGCCTCCAATACAATTATATTTTCTTCATCATCACTCGTCTTTGTGTTTTTCTCTAATACTGCACAGGCATCACTAAATGTCTTAAATGTTCCTGATACAAGAAAGAAAGACTGTGTTTTAGTTTCACAATAACAGTAAATCACAGTAACAACTTTAACTTTTTACCTTTCCTGGAGTTCCAGGCGTTCCACTTGGCTTTTCCTTTCATGTCTAACATTCCTGGTTGATCTACAACGTGGTGAAATCACACAGAGAGGAGGAAACTTTCAGAATTCAGGGAGCATGTTGTATGAAGGTGATTCTGTTTTTTCCTGCTAACAGGTCATACCGACGTTAACGTCTCCAACCACCGACTGCTTATAAAGCCCATACAGGTCCAGCAACTCCTGGTCGGAGGGCTTCGTCTTCACCTTCTTCACATCATCTGCCATCTTCTCAAACTCTGCCTGCGGGGTCACAGACCGTCAGAAGAAACACAGACAAGCCGCTCTTTGTATTTCTCATAGACTCTTGTCACCTGATGAGCAATTAAACAGAGTTTCTGCTATTTCTGACCCAGTCTTCTAGTTATTTGCTGCAGTGCGAGTGTATCACACAGAACATGAGAATGTGCATATTAATTAGTTACAAACTGATTAAGAAATCTGGGCCTGGTTTTCTATTCATGGTGTGTGGAGCCTGGGAAACCTATTGTTGCACACGCTGGAGCCAAACAATGGGCTTTTATTAACAGTCCAGGGCTTTTATGCCTGTGTGAATAATCTACTTTTCAATGGGGCCTTGCACAACAGATAATTATGGACCGAAACCTTAAACCCTGTGCACTCTATGATGTTATCAAATCCCTGAAGATAAAGTATTAGTCAGGCTGGATATCGCATTGGTTGGTCTAGTATTTGTCATCAGTTAGAGCCAGACTCTCACAGATTCCTAATCTTGCATCACAATATGATCTAATGAAGTCTCCTTTTTGTTCAGGAAAACGCATCAGACAGACTCAGATCTAGAGGAGGAAGCTGTTTGGAGCTGGTTTTCTTTCATGAAGCCTCACACACAAGTCAAAGATGGATGACAGCACATACAGTGGAGAGCATGGACACCAGAGCGCCACAACCGCGTCTCATCTCACAGCGATGACGATGGATCCGGTCGCTCTGAAATCGTGATGGATGGAGAAATAATTCTTTACCTGATGAGACATGTTCGCTGACGCAGGAGCTGGATGAGATGGACGTGTTCGGGTGTTGAGGCTCGACGCAGCTGTGGGTGCAGAGCAGCAGAGGAGGAGGGAGCAGGGAGCAGCGCAGCAGCTGATTGGCTGCCTGTCACCCTCACTCACACACTGTCACTGACTCACACACACACTCAGTCAGATCGGTGACACTGACACTGACACACACACACACACACACACACACACACACACACACACACAGCCCATTCTCTCACCAAAGCGGTCCCTTTAAATACAACCTCATCCTCACTGATCCCTGCTAAGCTA